ATCAAGTAATCGGAGCTCCTAATAATCCCGAGGTTGTGTTTATAAAAAAAAAAAGTGTCCTAGCCCTGTTTCAGACAATAGTTTTCTCAAACACGCACGCCGAAGCAACGCCCGATTTTAACGGGTGTTACAATACTTTCGCCGGTGACGGTATATACTTTCTGTGGCATACACAATGGCCGCAGGTTGATAAAAAAATTTATTTATTGATCTCGCGGCGCTGGCACTACAGATTATTTACTACTTTTGATAATAAACTTTGGTTATATTAAAGACCCCCTTTTACATTACGCGGCGCTTTGTTATTGTGAAGTGCCCAATTATATACACGAAAAAAACAAATACTTCGCGAATATCATATGATTTTTGTATATAAACAACAATGACCCATAAATTTTTATATAATGAACATATATTTTATATAGCATCTGGATAAATTAATTTACCATCCAAAGCCGAGTATATAAGAATTAAATGTGCGTTCTCCTTATTTACGCTATGCGAATAGAGTTGCGTTCTAGTTATACGGTACAACTTAAATTGTAACTTTAAGCACTTCAGCCCTTGTATATGTAGCACCAGCCCTTGTTAGTATTGGGATAGGTTTAAAGTGGAAAAATCAAAGCTTACATCCGAAGATTTTTTTTTCTTTCCCGAAAATTAACAAAATCTCGATATTTTAATTTATAGAATTTACAATAATGAAATAAAGATTGTTTTTGAAATTACTATTCAATAATGTCATGCGACGAAGAGTCTTTACCTAATTCAACAGTCTCGTGTCACGTCTTGAATGCTTTCAAAAACAAAGATTTAAATTCCGAGACGTGTTTATAACTTATGAAAGTTCCTCACTTATCGATTTCTCTTGGCTACTTTGGAACCTTCAATTCCGCTGAATATTTCTTTTCCATCCTAACATTGGTTCTTATTGACAACCTAAACTATAATTAATTTACAGGGTGAGCATTTATATGTTCTTCGGTTCATCACATTCTGCGCTATTTACTATTCCAAACGTATACCCGTACTAATTTTTTGCATAAATTAATGCATGTATATACAGTCAGTATACTGTGTATTGATTTACTATTCTATTTAAGGTAAGCATCAGTATTATGACGCACAGCGCAGTACCAATTATAGTGAAATTGCTAATTTAAATAATAGCTTTGATTTTTTTTTTAAAAACATAATATATAAAAATTAAATTTTCTAAATATATTTAAAATTTTTAATAATTTTAAAATATAATGTACATATATTATATAAATATAAATATTAAATTGTAAAGTTATTTTATTTTATTTTATTTATTAAATTAATATATTATAAAATTATTTTTATATTATAATTTTTTTAAATATATATATATGTCTATAGTACTATAAATAATTTTTTTAAATTATAATATTAAATCTTTAGTTTAATTTATTAAGAAGTAAAAATATAAAATATTTCTTTATAAATAATTTGTTTTATTATATATATATATTATATTTAATTAGTTAAATTTATAAATAATTTAATTAGATTATAAAAAAATATAACTTTGTAATTACAAATAACAAAAATAATAAAATTATATTATATCAATATTATCTTTTGGAAATTAAAAATATGATTAATTGAAATAATTCGATTAATTAATTAATAGTATTTTATAATAATTTTTTTATAATAAATAATTAAACTAAACCATAATTTAAGTAATTTAAAATTAAAAATATTTTATTTTTAAAAATAATAAATTCTATATAATAATATAAATATATAATGAAACAATAATTTTATAGCTGAATATATCAAATAGTAAATAAATTAATATTGAATTTTATATTAGATCAATTATATTTTATAATATATCTGTTATTAAAAATTGAATTAATACAATAAAATTACTATATTTAATAATAAAACAAACAACAATAATTTGCTTTAATATGTTATTATTGAAAGAGAAATACTATAGAATTATACTTTTAAATATTACTAATTTTATAATATTTTTTAATATGATTTTTATAGGTAAATTAATTTTTTCTTTAAAAATAAAGTTAGCTAATTTACATATCATTGCTAAAATATTTTATATTAAATACCATTAAATCTTTTGTATCAAATAAGGTAAGGTATATATAGTATAAATTCATGATGTAATGGTTGTATTTTAAAAAAATAACTATTATATTATATCATGCTTTATTAAGCGACAAAACCATGCATTATGTAATATTTACTATCAATTTAGGTAACTTAATCTAGATAATGAGATACATACAATAAGAATTGTCTATAAAGATACTGTAAACAAAAAACCCGCGATATCTTTATGTTTAATTAGTTCAGAAACTATGGCTAAAGTGCCCTCGTAAAATCTTTCCGTTATCATATAATATTTTAATGGTACTATAACAATCAAATCATTACAGCTGCGCTATACTCAGTATATTGTGTAACTTGATTGATTATGCATGCTTTCTTTAATAATGCGGGGCTTTTTTTTTTTTATGATCCAAATTAGTAGTTTTAATAAAATATCAACCAGGATACACTAACAAGTTTATATCAATAACTTTTTGTCTTCATTAAAAAAAAAAACACTCCATTTATGTTTGATAATCCGCAGGATTTTAGAGACCTTTAAATCGTGCAAAACAGCAAATAAAACAAGTAACAGTAAGTACAAATCCAATTAATAGCGGTACTCTAAAAATCTTACGTTATTACAAATAGTCTCGTTTAAAATATTAGATATTAGATATTATAGTGTTTCTTTTTTCAATAGCATTCTAATTACAATCAGAACTTGATATCGGCACTAAAATATTTATTTCCTATGAAATTATAATCAATGAAAGTATATTTAAATAGTATCGGTTTATTTTATATTATATGGCAAGAGTCAATATATTTGTTTTTAAAAAAAAATGGTATCGTTAAACTTTTTAAATTTTAAATCCGTTAAAAAAAATTATTTGAAACATATTCAAATAATACATTTAAAAATTTTTTAAAAATATTATAATGATAGTAAAAAGATAAGAATACAGTATACAGATAAATACAGATAAAAAGCCGATATTTTAAACTTTAATTATTCGATAATAATATATTTTGAATTTCAAAAAAAAAAATTAGCAATAATAACATTGTTTTAAAAAAAGTAGCTATATTATAACAAAATAATATTTTAAAAATATTTTGTAGCATGTTAGTTAAATTAAAAAATATTTATTATATAAATTATTTTTAATTTTAAAATATAAATATAATTTGATACTAATTTTATTGAAAACAATCAATTATTAAAAAATATGTATTAAAAAAAATTTAATGTTTTTTTTATTATTTTAAACCATTTGAAATGATGTAAATTTTTTTGTTTTAGAAATATGGGTAATTATTTTTGAAGGCAGACCGAAATTTTCTGGCGTGATCCTAAAATTTATATTATATATGTATTGTTTAAAAGTTGGGTCCGAAAAAATAATGTCTAGCATTTTTGTCACCTTCAAAAATAATTACCCATATTAGAATTCGTAACATGTATTAAACTTAAAAATTTTTTGCCTTGTGTTTTATTTATCATCATTATTTCTATTATAAATATATAATATAATAATCCTTGTTTAAAAATATATTCGACTTTAAATGTAGTATACTGCTTTTTTATTAAATTAATTTTTAATGTTAAAAATAGTACCAAGCTGTGATATAACATCAATTTCACATTTGACATTTTATTAATTAATAAAAAGTGAACCGCCTAGCATTTGGTGATAAAAAAAATTCTAACCCTAGTAGGAATATAACGGAGTAAATTTAATGTCTTTTGCCTATTTTTATTCGTGAGAAACTTCACTTTAATCTACTTCTTTCATGAAATGCTTGTAACTTTGTCGCACCAGCAAAGTTTTAGCCGATGCATGGCAAAAGAAAATTACAAGGGGCGCATAAATTGATTGTTCTTTTTGTTTAAAAGTTATCTAATAAATTCGGAATATAATGTTTTACATATATCTTTGAATCAGGGAAGGTAGTCTTAAAATGAATTTTAGGACAAATATAAACAATTTATTTTATGATAATATATTTTAGAATCGGTTAGCACCGTTATTTAATGTCGAATCGGGGTTTTAAGGGTCAAAATCCGTTGATTTCTATTGCATTAATAATAGACTCTAATGAAGAAATTCGGTGGTTTTGCATACGCCTATCTCATCCTTTTAACCAATTTGAAATAAGATCAATCGGTAATGGTGCAATAAAAAAGCGAGCATTCGCGCATTCTTTGCTAAGTTTTTAAAATTACTAGAGAAAGTAATGCATTCTTTTGCGTAGGAACTTGTTAGAATACGTCGGAATACGGCGGAGTACGGCGGAATTCGTCATCGGCTACTTGCGAACTTTTATTTTACAATAACATATACGTAATCGGTATAGTTATGTTGGTTTATTGTACACGTGATTGTAACTTATTGTATAAAATTATACAGTATATAGGATATTTATGGTAAACTATAAAAGATTATTTCAGGGATTATACCGTTTTAGCAGTTACATAAAAAATCTCGGTCTAAAAACGTTAGAATACGATGATGACTGGAACGTGTACTACTAATGTCTTTGATGACTTCCAAATGTGTAATTTGATATAAAAAACTCGGCATCAAAAATCAAAAAAAAAAATCTGAAGAAAATTATTTAAAGAAAAAATCTGAAAAGAAAATTTGCTTTTTTTTAAACGAAAAGAACAAAAAGTAGTTGATTTTAGAAGAAATTAAGTAAAATAAATAATAAAATAAAAAAACGATGTATTTAAAGGATTTCTTTATATATACTGTACATGCGCAAGCGGAGTTTTTTATAGCAGAGCGGCTCCTTTCATAATTTTCCTAATATGGCCAAACACAAGAGAATAATATAATGCTATACATAAATATTTCAGTATTTATTGAGAGTTTATCTCCATCTCGTTGTATGTTTTTAAATAAAAAATGGAAGCAAATCAACAACCAGTTCAAGTGCAAAGGTTAATAGACAAGGTTGGAAATGAACTCTTTCGTTACATTAATTCTCCCTTGAACTTTATTCTTGGGTGTAAGTTATTTTATCTTCTATCGCTTGACTCACACTCTCGTGCAAAATGGGTTATATATAAATATGGAAGAGCCCAAGCGTTATTTCATGCTGTAAGGCTCGGACCAAACTTTATAAATGTTCAGGTCGTAAAGGTAATATTGGCAAATGGCGGGATACTATCGAGATATTTCGTCCAGAGGTTATTAATGCACTTTGGTCGATACGATAAAAAACTTATCGAATTAAAGATTGCACATAATGTCGGGCAAATAGATCCTGATCGCATTCGAAATTTTAAAGAGAAGATTAAATCACCTTGGGCGAGTAATCTACCGATATCGGTG